CCTTTTTCACCGCTCTTTTTCCGATCCATTAGCCCCATCCATATAACCCCTACTCCCACCGATCCCCAAAGACACGATCACATATCCTCTGCATTTTGAATGGAGTCGTATATTGCATCGTTGCCGAATTCTGAATTCCAATAAGCCTCGGTTCAAATAAAGTGGAAATTTTTTAGTATCGACACAATTTGACGGTACTTCATGCCTTTTTTACGTTCTTCTCTATTTGGTATATATGAGAAAGCTGACTCGTGAAACTGCGTTTTCGATTAGGAAGGATTACTTAGGTGGATTTGTAATGCTGATTATCTTACGGCATAATCATATAATACTTCAGACTCGGCAGTATGTCCAGTTTTGAATGCACTTCTTTTCAGCCCCCTGTAGAAACTGTACTCGGCAAGGAATGACTACTTATGTAGCATGTATTTTCCACACTGATTTTCGATGGTATTATAAATTCAAATATATTTCATAAAGAACACGGATAAAAACGCCTTCCTTTACTCATTTGATAGAGAATCATGTCGTCTTTATATTTTATACTTAAGGAAGGAGTACAAGGAGGCTTTAAAAAATTTTACTGATTCCCAAAATATTCGGGGTCTGTTGAGCCGTCGCATTAGCGCTTAGTGATTTCAGTCTACAAGGTGCACGCGTTCCGTGTATGGAAAATCATACATTTTTTTATGCCTTTACAAAGATGCCACATAGAGTCCATAAAATTTGGCAGTGGATGCGAGCTATGTTGTTTATTTCATGAGGAGTAGTGGTAAACGGACAGGTACCATGCTGTGTGAATGGACATTGTACGGTCTTAAAAATTCTCATAATCAGAAACGTTTTAAAACCTAATTATATCCCTTTCTCGAGTATAAAATGTAAAGATGACGTGAGTCTTTATCAAACGACCAAAGGACCGCATGTTTTTGTTCGTGGTTTCTATAAAAAATATTCCAATTTATAAGACCATCGAAAATCAGTGTGAAAAATACATGCTACTTAAGTAATCACTCTTTACCGAGCACAGTTTCTACAGGAGACGGAACAGAAGTGCATTTAAAAGTCGACATACTGCCGAGTCTGAAGTATTATATAATTATGCCGTAAGATAATCAGCATTACAAGTCCACCTAAGTAATCCTCCCTAACCGAAAACGCATTTCAGAATTTCGGCAAACATTTCATGAGGTCGGTCACTCACTGTACTTTGACTTAGAACTCCAGTTGAGCCTCTCCCATCACTGTACTGCTGGTTCAGTGTAACTGGGACTTTGTATCCCACATGCCGATCTATAAAAACACTTGTTCTTGCATTTGCGCAAATAATGATTTGACTTAACTTGTAAACGAGCTCTGCAACTTATCAGAAACTAATCCTTAAAATGCTTGTCAAAAACGAGGACTGAGGTGCATCTCTTCGTCTTTCACCGACCGAAATCTGAATACGTCGAGTTCTATCCAGAATTCGGACATGTTTATATGCATTTAAAAAGGCCTTTCAAATCTGCCACATTTACGTACGCACGAGAACTTAGACCAACTTAGCTGCTCTGGGAGGGGGCATGTATCAAGGGGAGCATTGCAATCTCCACATAATTAAGAACACTTACATCTCTCTCTATGGTCCGTGATCGGTTAAGCAGGTCCTCCAGGTGAGCCTCCTCTTGAGAAATCCTCTCGCAGTTCTCCTCCAACATCCTCTTAAATTCCGTCATGCATGCCTCCGAGGTCAGGGAGTCCACAGGCGCAGTTGTTTGCGCTGGCTCCATCGACAGAATACGGCGTTCTGCAGCATCGCACAGCCAGCCAGAGCTACTTCAGTCGTCCTTTGCGTATGTAAGCACGGCAATCGGAGGGGCGGAGGCGGCGTCAGAGCAAAGTCCGTCTTTCGATCCGCCTTTTCGGCCACAAATGCGTCAATGTAGCGGCCGAATCTGTCTGATGACGATATTTTGTGCCAATCTGACAAAAGCCCTCTTTGTAATTATTTCGAAGTAATGCAGTCTCTGTCAAAATGTGATAACTAAAATGATCCCCACACATTACTTCTGTGTTAATCCGAGCTTAACTACTAATCCGGTGGGGAATTTCTAACCTCAGCGAGCATTGGGAACTTTGGTAGTTATATTTGTCTGCCGTAAGTGCGGCAGCCTTTGGGCTGTAGGTTGGCCAGAACCCCATTCTTCCATCAGCTGCTATTATCAAATAGCCTATTGATTGATGATGATAACCGGCATGAAGTTTGTAGTATGTTTTGTTTACTGTCACTTCAAATGCAAGCCGAAAATCGTAAAGATTTATGCATTTTACACTGGTTATCAGTATAGTACAGTTTGAACACAAGGAATCTGGCGATTAAAATAAAGTTTAAAGCAGCGATGTTTTGGGATATCATTGGCGGCCCTTAGGTCTGAGTGAAGTACCCACCGTAAGGATTAAAAGTAAACGCTGAAGTTTAAAAACCCGCAAAAAAGTGTTAACACGAAGAAATTTTTCTAACGGACGAAAATAGGGGAAGGATAGATGACTTTAATATGGCCTAGTTCAAAAGGATGAGAGCAAGTATTCAGTAGCCAGATGACGTGGAAAAGGCTTCGCAGCTTTCTTTTGCAAGACGTTATGATCATACCTTCATGGTGAACAGTCATGGGAGTGGCCAGAAATGGAGGAGGTGTGAGGATACCACTCTTCCCAGTTCCCCCAACTTTCTGATCTCGAACAATATTTTTTCGAAACGACGCCTGAGTCGACTCAAACTTTGGGATAAGTATCCAAGTTGCCTTAGGCTCATGGAAGTAGGGCAAGCACACATTTTGTGGGCAAGTCATTGGGTTGTCGACGAGTGCATTTAGTTCATAGCGGTTGTCTGTCAGAACTCTGGACGGAAATTTAAGTAGCAACTCTTTTTCAACATAAAAACGCTTTTATCAGGCATTCAAACGATTCATGAAGGCATGAATTGGTCATTCGGGTTAAGATGAATGCAAGGCTCCAGCATTGACTGAATGTCTTTACCGGTAATGTCATTCTGCCTCTATTACACGCTGCTATGCGGCTGCTGGCGGGACTGAGAGTGACAGAGCCCCAAGGCACAACTGTACGAATGAGTTCCGTAACGGGATCGGTGGGTGTTCCTCTACGGTGGCTTCGACATTCTCGGCTTTCTCAGGTTTCAAATTGTCTAACTGTAAGGGCTTTAAATCCGCGACAAGTAAAAACACTATGCAATAACTAAATATTTGGATTGAAAAGTCCTTTCTTTCTCTTCTAGTTCACTGTTCAATAACGTGGCTGTTAGCAAAATCAGAGATCTGAAGTGTACTTAATAGATGTTTTGGCAAATTTTGATTGATTCATATCGACCCAACTGTGAAAAACTCGGTTTCTCGGTGGGATTCGAACCCACGACAGCAAGGAGAAGGCTTTGGTACAGCCAATGCTCTAGTCACTTTAGCTACGAGGCCCTACGAGGAGAGGTGAGTTTAATCGCACTGGGGTCAAGTCACCCGCCCAGCCTATGAGGACTCGTAGCTCAGGTGGCTAGAGCGTTGGCTATACCAAAGCCTTTCCCTTTCTGTCATGGGTCCGAATTTCATCGAGGCGTCGAGTTTTTCACAATTGACTCAAATGGATTTTAAGAGTACTCTTTTAAATAGCAATTGCCACCTAATGTCATCTGCTAGAATTAGAAAATCTAACTTTTCTAGAATTTTGTCCCACCCGCCTCTGCTGCACATATTCACCATAGGAGTTGCATGAGGAAGAACTACGACTTGTAGAAAAAGCCGCATAATGATCTGACTGGTGTCTCAGAGGCGATCAGTTCCAGGGGATTTCTGCCTAAGTATCAACCGTGATTTTGGATCGTCTCGCTGCGTTTCTTATCAGTTAGTTCAAAAGAATTAGAAATTTCGGAAAATGAATCTTCGTCAGTTCACCTGAAGCATGAGACAGACAGTTATGCAATCTACGTACACAAGGTTGTTGATTATCAGACAATGGGGAGGGTAATATTGACAAGTCACGACAACTACCTGTAAATACGCGAGCGTGGTAGTCATCTGGTGGATTCTAGGTGAATTACTTAGGAAATCCTGCTTGGGCAGTCAACTTACTGTATCAGATTTGGTGGATTCCAGACGTTGCAGTAGGTTGGGCGGGTAACTTGACCCAAATGTGATTAAACTCGCCTCGTCCGGCGGGGCCTCGTAGCTCAGGTGGTTAGAGCGTTGGCTGCGCTAAAGCCTTCCCCTTACTGCGTGGGTTCGAATCCCACCGAGGCGCCGAGTTTTTCACAGTTGGGTCTATATGAATTATTCAAAATCTGACAAAATATCAATGAATACTCTTACTACTGAAATTCTTAAGGTAGGTTTGAAAACTTACTGGTTGTGGTCTCGCTGAGCTTGTGAACTGCCGACTGCCTTACGGGGTTCGCGCGACACCTACTCTAGGATTTTCAACGTTCTCCCGGCGCTCTAAGCAGTTTGCGTTGGAACCGCCTCGGGTACGCTGACGTGCCGCGTTGGCCAACACCCTCCATTTTTATGCACCAACCGGGAATATTGTTTAGTTGTTAGTCTCGCCACTTTGGGTAGGTTACAATCCTCGTTCTGCTACAGAAGGTATCCCGGGAATTTATAGGTTTACTTTTCAGAATTAAAACACGTTAAAGGCACTGAAGTCCGAAAGAAAATCTCCGTCTGTCATCGATTTGTCGTTTTTTCGGGGTTTGAACTGTGGTTCTGCAGAGGGTGGCGACATCGTGATAGAAGAATTCAGCAGAATGACTTACCTATCAAACTGGGTAAATATTTACTTAGTAAACAGTTCCGCATCTCCGTTGATATGAACCGGCGGCAGTTCAATTGCAGTGTACATGCCAGTGTGCAGTGTGCATGCCAGTAAAAACGCTAAAAGAACTACTGACGCGCTGCACACAAAATGTCCAGTTTCTGTGCAATGGTCAACTATACAGACAGATAGATGGCGTGGCAATGGGATCACCTCTTGGACCGTTCCTTGCAAATGTTTTTATGGGCAAAGTTGAGAAGACAATATTACAAGATGCCATTAATGACCTCGTCTTCTACGGTCGGTACGTGGACGATATCTTTTGTCTGGCGGATGGTACCACCGATATCGAGGACATTGTCCAAAAGTTCAACAATGCGCACCCCTCGCTAAAGTTCACTGATGAGTCCGAGGCAGATAACGAAATTGCGTTTCTCGATGTCCTTCTACACAGGCAGGAGGATGGGTCTATCAAGCGCAGGGTGTTCCGAAAGAAAACCTGGGTGAGACAGTACATTAATTTCCACAGTTTTGCTCCCCTCAACATCAAACGAAATCTAGTCCAGGGATTGGCAGATAGAGTGAAGCGCATCTGCTCACCTGAAGCTATTGAAGCAGAGCTCCAACATCTGCAGAACACACTTCGCGAGAACGGATATCCAGAAAGATTTATCCTCCGAAATATTGGGGAACGCATTGCAAAGCCCACTGTTGCGACTGCAGAAAAGAAAGATGTATTCATAAGACTGCCTTTTGCAGGGGACGCAGCGAGCGAAATAGTCAGACGGCGCTTAACTACAGCTGTCACGAGAGCATTCCCCGCGGCGAATTTACGCGTATGTTTCACAAACTCTCCCCTCCTACGTTTGGGAGGTAAAGACAGACTACCGCTGGAGGCCACACCAATGCGTATTTACTCATTAACTTGCTCATGTGGTGCGGGATACATCGGCCGCACAAGGAGACGCCTGGTAGAAAGGATGCGTGAACATATGCTCGCCTGACTGAAGAGAGGTGAGACCCGGTAGATTTCGAGTTCTATTCTCGCAAATTTAATCGATACGAATAACCGAGTCGATGCCAAGGAAGCATTTCAGGTTGTCTATCGGACACCAACAAGCTTCTCTAAAGGCCTACGCCAACGGATACTAGCAACGGCCGAGGCAGTGGCAATACGGCTAACGAATCCGGTGCTATGCTGTCAGAAAACCCTGACACAAGCGCTCTCTGCCGTGGCCAACGCCAACCTCACGTGATGACGACATGCCGCCTCAAATCCCTGATTACAGTGATGGGTACTCCGTGTACTCAATCCAAGAGCACCACTCAAAAACTCGCTTACCCCCCTCCCCCAGCCCTAAGGACCAAAACCCGCCGACCTCGTCATGCGGGCGGCGTGGGAAAGATGAGTGTTAATGACATAATTGACCTTGAGACACCTATAAACACTGTTAATTTTGTACACTTTCACTCCTTCATGTAATTGTATTGGCCTGACGAAGAATTACTGAAAACACGTGTTAGCCAACTTGACTTTTCAAGTGTAACATGGGAATATTTGCGGAACTGACACATATGTGTCTTGTTTTAGTGGGTTAAAGCCTTTGTAAGCAATCGACAAAATTTTATAAGGAGTCCTACTCACAGAACGTTATTACTGACAAAGACAAGAGAGACTGGAATGGCCATTTCTGGCTTAATAACCATCGTCAGCCAATCATACTCAACCCCGAGGTGTGGAACACCTGGGGCTCGTACTCACAGCCTGTTAGTTAGAAGTTCAACGCCTCTACCCACTGAGCCAGGGGTCCGTTGTCCTGTCGGTTTCGATCGGGAATATGTACTGGTGGAGGGGCGCTCACCGATTGTTCGTACGGAAATCACTCGTTCCCGTAAGGAACAACAAAACAGGTGAGTTCCTTAAGAACGATCTGTGAGCGCCCCTCCAACAGTTCTACTTAAGTCCACATTCCGTGCCTCATTTGCTCCTTCTTATTCGACTGGATTCAATAGTCCAGATACTCTTTCTTTTCGACACAGCTAACACATTCCGAATATCCACCAACCCTCTCATCTCCGACCCAATAAACTTCCCAGCGACCAGCTCGTGCACCACTAGCAGCACCCCCACCGATAGTTCGACCGTCGCATCTGATGATGTCCATTGTGTGCTCTACAGCAAGGCGGATCAGGGACGGTGACTTGTGCGTGAGTCCGTTTATAGTGGTAGTAGACTTGCACAGCATCTACCGCTCTCTCAACCTGGATCCGGTGTCAAGACAGAGTTAAGCAGACCGGAGGTGGGGAGGGCGTAGGTGGCTGGCACGATCAAGCCCGCACCTTGGCGTCCCACTCCACGCCCCCTGGTCCACACAGAAAATGACCAGGAGTTTTCGCCAACAACAACAACACTCCAACAGGGGTCGGAAGGACGAGGATGATGACTGGGCAACCATGCCCACCACCTGTATACCCCGCGGGAGCGGAAGCGCATCTACCGGCAGGGAACAAGGTGTCAGCGAACTGCCAGCGCATACGAGGCTGCAAGGGCCATGGTTTGCCGATACTGGCACAGCACACGCTTACAGACCGTTTGACCTGCCACTGAAACTGACTTACTATCCCCATTCTAGCTCGCCCATACTGTCACCGCACGTCCACCTCACGCATCGACCTGCTCGGTCACTTGCGAGTCCATCACACAGAGGCTGGCGAGTCAGCGTCTGGAACACCAACATGCACCAGACGAAATCGCCTCCTCTGCCCCCATAGCACTCGCACATTCAGCCATTGCATGAACCTATTCGATCAAATGCGCCTTATCCAAAACCTGCGACTAATCATTGCTGAAATGACAATGTCACAACAGATTTCATCATCACCACATGCAGACATGAACACCTCCAACATCTCATTCCACTGCCACCTCTCACGTAAGTGGTGACTGTGCTCTTCTGCCCCCTTCTCTTCTGCGTGTGAGATCCGAGCGGTTCACCTCCTTGTGTGTATATCCTAGCATTCTTGCAGAGAGAGAGCCTTGACCGACTGCTACGGCTACACCGGTCACTTTATTTGCTTCAGAACTCACGCAACTCAAGCTTGCTCGGTCTCCATTACGAGGGCCCCTGCTGCAAATCAAGCTCACTTAATCCGAGACTAGCCGAGAGACGTTAGTTCGGACGCACGTGCGTCCAGTCAGTCACAGCCGTCCATGACCCACTTAAACACGCCACGTCCCTGGTTACTGCAACACAGACCACCAAGTTTCGCGAATACACAGTCATTAACCGTTGTTGTACCGACCCGAAAATTCGACCTTCGTGACCGACGATATCCGCCGTGTGCTCCAAAGAGCAGGGCGGTGAATTGCATGCGATTTTTTCTACAGACATAGTGGATTTGCGTTGAACCTACCGTACTCTCTCCTTACCCACCTGGGATCCGCGTCGTTGCAGAGTCAAGAAGACCGGAGGCGGGGGAGGACGCAGGTGGAGGGCACGACAAAAGCCCACACCTAGGCGTATCACCACACACCCCAAGTCCGTAAGGTACACTGACCGGGATTTCATATAAGAAAAAAGGGATGCGGGTCGGGTCCCAGCTGGCGACCCGTTAGCCTGTAATTGAGCCTACCGCCACACTTTCAATGTGTGGCATTTTTTATGGGTGTGCACCACCAATAACGACTGCCGGACCTCGATCTGCCCCCCCCCCGTTTGGTCCACCACACCTACCTCGTGGCCCATTTGAAGGGCAGCTGTGTTAACTCAATGTGGCGTTCGCTACCAAGAGACGAATCGGATGCCATACGGCATGCGTCGGCGTTGTACAACCCTGCCACGATAAATGCGTCCTTCTGTGACAACCATGTGTCTTCGATTCTCGGCGTCGAGTGGTTTCCAGCTGCATCCGCCAGACGGCCCAGCCCGTCGACTAACAAAGACAAACCAGGCACGACCAGTGAGGAGTCACAGCTCGGACGCAGACTGGTGCAGTGAAACCCTCCACCGTAACTACCTTTAAACATGCGAAAAAAAGAAAAAGTCTGCAAGGGCAGTCGGCAAACCTTACTTTTTTGCGGGGTCTGTACACAGTTGAAAGACGTGCATTGGGAAAATAGTTAAAAAGGGGTTAACGAAAATCTGGTAGAGCAGCGAGGTAAGACGATTTAGGACCGGAGGGGAGGGGCGGGGGAGAGATCGAGTCAGTGACGACGGGGAGGTCGGGCGGCTCGCGTGGTCTTGACGCGTGTTGCGAGGTCCAGCCGAGGCTTTTTGGTGGTGGGAGCCCCGGACACCTGAAGGGCGGTTCGCACAATGTTCGGATCTCCCGTGTCCGCCACCACCGTGGGTGTCCACTCGAAATGCAGGAAGTCGTGCAGCCGTCGAGCGCAGTCACTAATCGCACGCGAGCAAATACACCAAGATTAGCGCGTGATATTATAATAATTGGCGCTCATTACAACAGTAGCACACACGGAGGGTTTGAAAAAAAAGCATACACTGCTCTTTTGCCTACACAACCCTTAAACGACCAGGCTGTCTTATTTGTTGGCCAGATTCACTGGTCCATAAACACTGCAATTCTTCAGAACCCATCAAATGCATTACTGCCGATACAAGCGAAAATGCGAGTTCCAGGAACTAGTTGATCAGAAGAAGAAGCGATCGCTGGAACAATGGCTTTATTCGCCTGACGTTTCGGATTCTCTCTTGAATCCATCATCAGAGACAGTTGCAGAAAAGGGTGGATAGTGTACAGACAGTCGCAGTATTTATAGGATGCGGTCGCCATGCTACCGCAGACCTACAGCAATTAACCGTGCTCCCTTCATCAAGGATTGTTGCCCGCTGGTGCGCCAATTGCTTGATGGCCGGCATGCAAGTTGTTAATTGCTGACATCTCATCACCCGTGTTGGATGCTGGCATGATGATTGCTCGGCCATCTGGTTCACGTGCTTGCGCGCTCCTCGAGTGGTCAATTGCTTTGGCCAGTCTATGCCTCAGGACAGAATATGGAGTGGGGATGTCGTTGCACTTGTTGATAGACTGAGGTCCCGTGAACCATGACTCAAGCAACTCGCGGCTCACGCGATTATCCCCTCTCGCGAGAATTTCGGCCTCATCGAACTTGAATGTGTGGCCGGGTCTCGTCGAATGTGCCGCGACCTGAGAGTTGGCGCCATTTCTCCGTACACCTGCCACGTGTTCGGCGATTCGCGTCCGGAGCAGTCTTCCAGTTTCTCCGACGTAGTTGCTTTGTCCGCAACTGCACCAGATCCGGTAAACGACTCTAGATGTTTCTTGCCGTGGCAGTGGGTCTTTTGGTCTCATCACCTGACGCCTCATGGTGGTCTCCGGTCTGCGCGCAACTCCAACCCCAAGTGGTGCAAGAAGGCGGCTAACGGCCTCGGAGACGTTCTTGATGTACGGGATCGCTCGCCAGAATTTGGGGTCGGCGCGATTTTGTCGCTCGTCTCGTTTGCGCAAGCACTGGTTGACGAAGTTGCGCGGGTAACCGTTTTTTCGGAAAACCCGTCGGACGCGAATTGCCGAACACGTGGCAGGTGTACGGAGAAATGGCGCCAACTCTCAGGTCGCGGCCCATTCGACGAGACCCGGCCACACATTCAAGTTCGATGAGGCCGAAATTCTCGCGAGAGGGGATAATCGCGTGAGCCGCGAGTTGCTTGAGTCATGGTTCACGGGACCTCAGTCTATCAACAAGTGCAACGACATCCCCACTCCATATTCTGTCCCTGAGGCATAGACTGGCCAAAGCAATTGACCACTCGAGGAGCGCGCAAGCACGTGAACCAGATGGCCGAGCAATCATCATGCCAGCATCCAACACGGGTGATGAGATGTCAGCAATTAACAACTTGCATGCCGGCCATCAAGCAATTGGCGCACCAGCGGGCAACAATCCTTGATGAAGGGAGCACGGTTAATTGCTGTAGGTCTGCGGTAGCATGGCGACCGCATCCTATAAATACTGCGACTGTCTGTACACTATCCACCCTTTTCTGCAACTGTCTCTGATGATGGATTCAAGAGAGAATCCGAAACGTCAGGCGAATAAAGCCATTGTTCCAGCGATCGCTTCTTCTTCTGATCAAATGCATTACTCGTAGCTAGCGTATACAAAATCAGGAGCAGGAATAACGGATTGATTAATAGGGCAAACAGAACACTCCAATTCATACCCTGCCAGTTCGACAAGCGGCATCAAGCGTACTAAAGATCAACCGATGGGCACCTTCATCAAAACATCTACGGTGGATTATGTAAATCACGAAACTTTGACCGAGATCCAGACATTAGATGGCTTTGATTGGGTTGTAACACGGATTGTCCTTCGGCAGAATCCCAAGACATTTCATCCACGCCAGGATGCCGACTTTTAAATGCGCGTCGTTTCAGTCGCTTGCAAGAATTGCACTTGAGTAGTATGTATTTTTACATTGATCTCCAATGCCCATAAAATTTGTGTAGATTTCATGCAAAAAATGCATAAAATAACCCTTCTCGTACTCGTTTTGTAGTAAACTATATCCTCTTCCAATTTTATATCCGAATAAAAAAGGCGCTTCTCGGTTTGGGAAGATTTGCAGTTACAAGATTCTTAAAACATTGAAATAGATGCTTAACTGGCAATGTACCTGTCCGTTTATTTGATGTTCCTGAGGAGACATGGAAATAGGAGACCATCTCCCTCACGGCACAGCAGGTGGTTTTACGATAAAATACAGGAAGGCAATATATTATCGCGTCCTAACCCCAACCTTAACAATAACTCTAACGTCAAAACTAACCCTAATCTCCATTGAAATCAGCCCAAAGCCTCGAAATAAGGAGTTTCTATTTCCGTGTCTTTCCATTCCCTATAAGAAATGTGCAAGCTGAGCCATTGCTACTACAAAAGGTTATGAGTGCTGGATAACGCCTTCTTAATAGCATAGGCGAATGTATGGCATTTCTTAGACGAAAACGTAGACTTTTTGTTTGGAAACGTCAAAAGCAAAAGTAACTGCAGTCCCTGTTCAAAAATATTCGCGAATTGTGGGAAAACTTCTAAAAACACAACAGGAGCAAACGGATATGTAAATCCCTGCCAATATAGCCATAACATGCCTACTAATTTGATTTCGGTAGACATGTTGTACTAGGGACATATTGTGGTTCAGTTTGAGAAAGTGATTAAGTTCAGGGTTAAGGTTGTGGTTAGGTTAGAGAATGGGGTTAGGCAAAGGATTAAGGCTATGATTAAGTTTGTCTGCCGCATACCGTCTTACCCGATTCAGCCTTCTTTGGCCAACAGCCCTAGATCGGCTGCTTTCCGTCCGTTTACACGCCCTAATTCGCATCTTTCAAATTGTGCAGCCTGTTCCCGCACCTCGTCGCATTAATAAAACAAACAAGTGGCAGACTTCCGAGCTCCCCCAATGCCTCCTGCAAGTTCCACCAATTGTCGCATCCATCCGCCCTACTGATAGAACCAGTATTAACGTTCCTCCCGTATTACAGGAGTCCCTGGGCTCTATTTCCTCAGTGGACTTACATATCCAATCCTTACCAATAAAAGACATCCGGACTAGAGTTGACAGTTTGACCATCGATTTGACGACATCCACCGTGTGCTTCACAGCAGGGTGAGAACAAGGACGGTGACCTGTGCATGAATTCGTTAATACTAATAGCAGATTTGCGCTAAATCCATCGCACTCTCTGCTCCTCTTTCACGTGGGTCCGATGTCAAGGCATAGTCTAGAAGACCGGAGGTGAGAGAGGAAGCAGG